GCGACCTCATGAAACCCCTCCCTGTTGTGTGCAGAGCACTCGCGTTTTAGGGTGCAGCTCGAGTCAGGAAGACGAGTTTGGGAACATGTGGCCGGCCACCTTTTTAAAATAATGCTGTATATATGTAAATGAACTATTTTTGCTGAAATCATGTGATGTAATTTGACGACAGTTGGCGAATTGCAGAGGTTTCATAGAAACATAGACATAGAATGTGACGGCAGAGGCGAATTAGGCTGATGTTACATGGGGTAATGTCCATGGAACAGACATATATCAGGGCTGTAGGTTATAGTATCTTCTTTTCAGAAGGAAACCTGTTGTGAAACAGGAAGTGGGGAGTGCATTTAGAAATTGCTTCCCACTGATAAAAATATCTTCAAAATCAGGAGTTTGAGTTGGACAACACAAGAGCATGATAAATACGGAGTGCGTGTTTGAGACAGTTCAGCTGATTGTTTTTAATATAATTTTTTGCAATCAATTTTTCCTGTCTCTTGCGACAGGAACATGTTTCCCAGCATGCACTTGAATCCCTCTTCCTGATTGGCTGCTTCCCGCATTTAAATCTTCTGAAATGTTTTCCAACTGGTGCAGGACTCAGTAAATAGGAGCATGCTGTTCAGTAACCACAAGATCCTGGCATTAGAAACTAGTGAAAGCTAAACGTTTTTTAAAGTGTGGTGCGAGATAAAGCAAAAATGTGATATCATTTTTGTATTTTTTTCTTGCTTTTCATTATCTATTATTATTATTCGATTTTCACATTCAGTAATTTTACTGCTTGTGCTAATGTGTTACGTTTATTGTTGCACAGCGTAGAAATTAATTATTTTCCTGTGTGAAATTTACGTGTTTTTTTACCAATTGCTGAATAAAATCCGTCAGAGGAGATATTTCATGTGTTTATTTGCAATAAGCCAATATATTACACAAATTACATACGTTACACTGGGTACGTTGCCCAGGCCACACAGTGCTAGATCTTTGTTTAAACAAGTTTTAAGATAACATGACAAATTGTAATCATATCAGAATTTTATGTTTCTTACAGCTCTCTGCCTGAGGTCACGTGGGTCTCAGACATGCAGGGTATTGCAGAATTTCAAAACACAGCCCAGCCCTGGCGCAAGTCCTGACTGCTCAGAACTCTACCTGACTCCGATACATAGCCAAAACTTTCCATTTATTAATAGGACGCTCCCGGCTGGACTTGACACCCCTTTTAATTATAAGGATAGATTTAATGTATTTCTTTATTTTAATTCATAAATTGAATTATTTGCTGGGAATCTTCAGGTTCTCCTGGAATCAGGAACTTTTACTTCATGATTTTCATCCAATGTGTATGTGTGCCTGTCTTAGAGTATGTATCTGTGTGCCTGTCTTAGAGTATGTATCTGTGTGTGTGTGTTTTTGAGTATGTATCTGTGTGTGTGTGTCTGTGAGTATGTATCTGTGTGTGCCTGTCTTAGAGTATGTATCTGTGTGTGTGTGTGTGTTTGTGAGTATGTATCTGTGTGTGTGTGTCTGTGAGTATGTATCTGTGTGTGTCTGTGAGTATGTATCTGTGTGTGTGTGTCTGTGAGTATGTATCTGTGTGTGCCTGTCTTAGAGTATGTATCTGTGTGTGTGTGTGTTTGTGAGTATGTATCTGTGTGTGTGTGTCTGTGAGTATGTATCTGTGTGTGTGTGTTTGTGAGTATGTATCTGTGTGTGTGTGTCTGTATGTATCTGTGTGTGTGTGTGTCTGTGAGTATGTATCTGTGTGTGTGTGTTAGTATGTATCTGTGTGTGTGTGTCTGTGAGTATGTATCTGTGTGTGCCTGTCTTAGAGTATGTATCTGTGTGTGCCTGTCTTAGAGTATGTATCTGTGTGTGTGTGTCTGTGAGTATGTATCTGTGTGTGTGTGTCTGTATGTATCTGTGTGTGTGTGTCTGTGAGTATGTATCTGTGTGTGTGTGTTTGTGAGTATGTATCTGTGTGTGTGTGTCTGTGAGTATGTATCTGTGTGTGTGTGTCTGTGAGTATGTATCTGTGTGTGTCTGTTAGTATGTATCTCTGTGTGTGTGTCTGTGAGTATGTATCTGTGTGTGTGTGTCTGTGAGTATGTATCTGTGTGTGTCTGTGAGTATGTATCAGTGTGTGTGTCTGGGAGTATGTATCTGGGAGTATGTATCTGTGTGTGTCTGAGAGTATGTAGCTGTGTGTGTTTCTGTGTATGTGTGTGTCTGGGACTATGTAACTGTGCGTGTGTGTCTGGGAGTATTTATCTGTCTGTGTTTCTTTGTATGTGTGTGTCTGGGAGTATTTGCCTATGTGTGTTTCTGACTGTGTATGTGTGTGTCTGGGAGTATTTATCTGTGTGTGTTTCTTTGTATATGTGTGTCTGTGAGTATGTATCTGTGTGTGTCTGTGAGTATCTGTGTGTGTGTGTCTTTGAGTATGTATCTGTGTGTGTGTGTCTTTGAGTATGTATTTGTGTGTGTGTGTCTGGGAGTATGTATCTTTGTGTGTGTGTGTCTGGGAGTATGTATCTGTGTGTGTCTGGGAGTATGTAGCTGTGTGTGTTTCTGTGTATGTGTGTGTCTGGGAGTATGTAGCTGTGTGTGTTTCTGTGTATGTGTGTGTCTGGGAGTATGTAGCTGTGTGTGTTTCTGTGTATGTGTGTGCCTGGGACTATGTAACTGTGCGTGTGTGTCTGGGAGTATGTAGCTGTGTATGTTTCTTTGTATGTGTGTGTCTGGGAGTATTTATCTGTGTGTGTTTCTTTGTATATGTGTGTCTGGGAGTATTTGCCTATGTGTGTTTCTGACTGTGTATGTGTGTGTCTGGGAGTATATAACTGTGTGTATATTTGAGCATTCATTTATGTTAACCAGTAAAATTTTCTATACAGTACTAGAAGTTCCCCTTTGAGCCCGCAGATCTCCTCTATCTCTAAGCCCTTTATTTACTTGTTTTTCACGCTAACAGGAAAAGATTACATTTCTTAGTAAAGTATTTGTGTTTGTGTCAGTAAGTGACATTATTTTGCTTCCTGATGAAATACCTTCATGTCGGCAGCAGAGAATGACAAATCTGCCTTTTTCTAAGCTGGCTGATTGCTACACCTGCTGATAGCTGGAATTTTTCCCAGCGGAGAGCTGACAATCAATGATATTGCGCTTTATCGAAGCGATCCCGAGCGGCTGCACCTGCCTTGTATTGATGCAGGCCAACGCTTGACAGCCGCAGTATAATATTCGCATTGTCCTCTTTACAGTTTGGAGGAACTTTGTAGGATTAATTGTAATCCAGCTGCTGACAGTTCCTGTTAGTAAGAAACGAACCCTCGACTGCTATAACATTGTCAGCGTGAAGCTGTTTAACTCATTTCCACTTTACCGGGAGCCTCATAAGAAGCCGCTCTGTTTCTTGCACTGGTAAAAATGTTTTTATAAGCAAACTTGCAACTTGGATAAAATTCGGCTCCGCTTTGGCACAGCCTGGCATATTTGTCTGGGCGGATTTTGTGTCCAGCAGCTCACTGAAAGTGAGATTAGAGCTGTTTGGGAACACGTAATTCCAGAAACAGACGATATTGGATACTTTTTGTTACAGGCAAGTCCCCACCTATTAGCACCCAACATAGATTTTCTAGAGTCATTTAGAGGGACACTCCACACATATCCTGTTAATTGCAGTGCAGTGTATTAAAGTGATGATTTTGGGGTGCTCTCCTGCCGTCCTAATTTAGTTCCTTAGTGTCTTGCATTTAGAGACACCTGTTTAGAGTGAGAACAATGTGTGTGGGCACTTGGACCATGTAGAGATTGTTTCAGCAGTGCTCCCTGCATAGTCTAGTTTTTCCTCCCTCAAGTGCTGCTACTCCTGTGTCTGTCTCCATCCAAGTCAACGGTGCTACTATCACCTCTACCTCGCAGGCTCGCTGCCTAGGGGTTCTTTTTGATTCTGATCTCTCTTTTACTCCCCATGTCCCATCGATAGCCAAATCCTGTCGCTTCCAACTCAAGAACATAGCGCGCATCCGCCCATATCTAACGCCAAGGTGCTGGTTCATGCTGTTGTTCTCTCTCGCCTTGACTACTGCAATCCCCTTCTCAGTGGTCTTACATGTTCCCAGCTTGCACCGCTGCAATCTATAATGAATGCGGCTGCGAGGCTTATTTTCCTGTCCGGTCACACCTCCCACGCCTCCACGCTCTGTCAGTCCCTGTATTGGCTTCCAGTTAGATATAGGGCCCAATTCAAAATTCTGGCGCTTGCTTACAAATCCCTACATAATGCTGCTCCATTACCTATCCTCCCTCATACACACGTTTGTCCCGTCGAGACCCCTGCGCTCAGCCCAAGACCTACGCCTATCCTCTGCCCTGATCCCCACCTCTGATGCTCGCCTTTAAGACTTCTCCAGGGCTGCACCTATTCTGTGGAACTCCCTTCCCTCCTCAATCAGACTTTCACCCAGCCTCCACTCCTTCAAAAAAATCTTTGAAAACTCACTTCTTCATTAAAGCGTATCAATTAAACTGTCAACAGGTTTCTCATCCCCCACCCCATGACTCCTTTCCTGCAACTGTCAAAAATGACCTACCAAGCACTCAATAAACCCTTCTCTAACAAACTATTTAATTCCCCTACTTTAACCCTTTGTGTCACTATACCTCACTCCCTCTAGCATGTAAGCTCATCGAGCAGGGCCCTCAACCCCCTCTGTTCCTGTACGTCCAGTGGTCTGATGTCAATTATGTGTCTGTTAGTCCACCCATTGTACAGCGCTACGGAATTTGCTTAGTCCTGTAAGTGGCTGTCTGTCAGCCTGGCGTACTTCATACCAAGGTGATATAGCCCTTCAGTGGGCCTGTTACTGACAACACTTCCTTGAAGACCCTCCCACCCGTCCCAATTCCACACCTCCCATTGTTGGGAGCCATGCTTCTCCCATGATTCTTCGTTGTATTCTGTTGTGTCAGGAAACGTGTAGTTTGCATTGAGTGCCAGGCTGTGCCAAACCAGCCATGTGTTTGATGAAAGCACATTAAATAATAACATTGCGCAAGTGTCAGCAATTTAAATTGAACGTTATATTTTCCTAAAAGAACTGAAGGGAATTCATAGCTGATTTGAAGGCTATTTCCAATTGGCCTATTATGATCTGTGATTTGAAATTCACTTTGCGTTCACACGTTAGTGAATAGCACTTTCTCCTTTTTAAAATAAAAGCACAGCTAATGGAGAACTGTTGGTTAGCTATTAGACTGAGCCAAGACACTTCCTCTTTTTCAGCTTGGTGGAGCTCATAGTGTGTAATGTGGGGTGTATCCTCTAAACGGAATTGTGACGGACCCGCTGGCACTCCGACTGAGTACCTCCGCCAATTGATGCTCCTAGCGCTTGCCGAGGACTCCAAGCACTCTAACCGACACCATATGTTACAATTACTATATAAAACATATACATGCAACATATCCCCAGATAGCTTAGATCTGAGTGCAAATTATTATTGAATGGCGCTCAGACCACATACATACAATTCAATCGCCATGGAGCCAAAGTCTTTTCCATAGTCTTTTGTTACTCAAATACGCTCCATGGCATAGCTATCTGGGATAGCACTACTACCATACTGAACGCCCCAGCAGAAATACACAAATAAACCTTTCTGCAGGGGAAAATACCGCTATCAGCACATGGGCCATAGTCGGAAGGCAGGAGGCTAGCCAGTAGTCCCCTCCAGGCACAAGTGGCGAAGGGCACTTTGTCACACATCTTCCCTTTGGGGGTAAGACTAAACAGGTACTTGACCTTCTGCCGGTCAGTACCTAGGTTAGTCGGGCAGCCCACCCACAAAGAAAAATACGCAGAGTAACCCCCCCCCCCTACAATAAATGGTACTGGCCTGTAGGTTCAAGTTTGTAGTGGGACAGCGCAGCACTCTCGGTCTCTCTGGTGCAGCTAGGCAAACTGCTGGTGTTGCTTGGGGGGCAGAGGCCAGCGGCGCTCTGCCCTGCTGCCAGCTCTTCCACTGGGGTAACCCGTGGTAAGTCAGGCTCTGATACAGGGGAAAAAAGGGGGCAGAGGCTAACAGAGCTCTGCCCAGATGCCAGCTCTTCTGCTGGGAGGGGGTCAGTGGGTATCGCAGGCTCATCCACTGCCCCCAGGACCCGGTTGGGATGTAGCTGGGGAGGGGAAGTTTTGCTTACCTCCTCCTCCTGGCATCCCTGCGGGGTTGGTTGGGGATCTGGACCGCCCGTCCAGCCTCCCTGTAGGACTGGCACAGAGACCGTGGTCCCATCTGCGCCAGTGTGGTTAGGTTTGTCTTCCCCCTCTCCCGGCATCTCTGGCTGCTGTTGGAGGGGGAGGCTGGTTGCCCCCACTCCCCAGGACGCTGGTTGCTGTAAGGTGGAGGGATCGACCATCACCTCCTCCTGGAACTCAGGCCGCCGCTGGGGAGAGAGACCAGTTGTCTCCTCTCCCTGTATATTATACTGACTGCCCAGCATCCCTGTAGGGCCGGCAGAGAGACTTCGGTCCCATCTCCCCTGGCCATCTCTGTGTGTCCCCAGGACAAGTCTATGAGGTCACCCACCTCGGGCTGCTGTTGGAGAGGGAGGCAGGTTGCCTCCCCTCCCCAGGACGCTGGTTGCTGTATGGGGGAGGGATCTACCATCACCTCCTCCTGGAACTCAGGCCGCCGCTGGGGAGAGAGACCGGTTGACTCTTCCCTCTGTACGGTGCACTGCCGCTGGGAAGGGAGGTCGCTGCTCTCCTCTCCCTGTAACTCACTCTGTCGCTGGAGACGGGGTGTCAATACCCCCAAACTCCACAGTTGGTACTCGAAGTTCCATGCATCTTGGTTCTCAGCACTCAACTGGCGCATCACTTGATGGACCACCTCATCTGAAGGGTTTGGGCCAAACCAGACCAGCCGCGCCTTTACTTCCTTCATGAAATCAGCACCCTCATAGCACTGTGACAGGCGGATTTGCAATTCACTGGCTGCTGTCCAGGGTCTTGCTAGCTCCATGTTGCTGTAGGTAGGGATGCTGCGCAGAGGCAATTATAAATCCGTAACTCCACACGTTACCGGTGTCTCCGAGCTGCTGGTCCTCGCACTAGGACGCCATCCCGCCGCTGCCACCAAATGTGACTGAACGCTGGCACTCCGACTGAGTACCTCCGCCAATCGATGCTCCTAGCACCTGCCGAGGACTCCAAGCACTCTAACCGACACCATCAGCACTGCAGACCCCACTTCCAGTGACACAGCTGCGCCGGGGTCTCACCGTTTCCACCCACCCTGGATCCACGACCAGGATCCAGCTCCCAGTGGGTGAACCTCTCCTAAATCCAGAGAGCGTAGCAGGAACAAATCAAGCTATTGCAAGAGCTT